GGGCAGAGCCTGCCGGGGCGGCCGAGGGGAGCAGCAGGCCTGTCCTCGTTGGGCTGAGGGGACACCGCTGACCTCCAGGCGGTGGGGAGGTTGCGAGCCGCGTTTTGTAAGGGGAAAGTCTCGTATTTCAAGAACAGACCGCACCAAATCGGTTTTAAACCTGGCCCCGAGCTTCGTGAGCCGCTGTGGGCGCGTGTGGTGAGGGGAAGAGAGAAGAGTTTGTCAGGGTAATAGAACCAGCGTAAACTAAGCTTACTGGGATTCATTGTGGTTTGGAGTTTGGTTTTGTTTTGGGTTTGTTATTTTTTTTTTCTTAAATGACTGGGTGAGAGTGTATGACTTTTCACGTACATGGGTGTACTGAGTTTTTTGGTCGCTTTTATGTAACTTTCGTTGCAGTTGCATAATGGCAGAAGCTACCATCTCTCCACTGAAGCACTTTGTGCTGGCTAAAAAGACAATCACTGCCATCTTTGACCAGCTGCTGGACTACGTCACTGAGGGGGCAACTTTTGTGGAAGGTTAGCTTTTGACTTAAACACAAGGGTCTTGTCTGTTGCTTTAAATATGTCTTACAGCAGCACAGTGCACATCACGATATATATCAGTATGCTGTTTATGTAAGCATATGCCTTAGAAATAGTCACGTTTTTCATTTGACATTGATTTTTTTCAGCTTAGGCTAGCAGGATGGCGTAGGATGGTTACATATACAAAAAGCTGATTGCATTACTTGGACTGGTAGCCTAGCCTCCTTTCTATGAGGGTGAAAGCTTAACCACTCCCAACGTTTATAGTCCTGTTGTGGTTTCTTTTGCATAGAAGAAAGGACAAACAGGTTCTCCCATTATTCAGTAGGAAAGTAGATCAACATGATGTAAAGCAAAGAACTGCTGGTTACACCTGCAGAAGTTTCAGCAACGTGGAGGTGCGTGTGTTGCCACATGGAGTTGGTTGCTCATCAGGCCAGTGAGCTCTCCAGGGAGAAGGCAGCCCAGCCTAGCTGGTGTATCCATGAGAGGTCCTGGCTTTCCTTTCTGAGAGAAGCAGGTGTTGCAAAGAGCAGGGCAAATCATCACAGCAGGCTGTGTTCACAGGGTTATTGAATCCAGCAGTTAAATTGTTGATTAATCTGAAGTGATGTATGTCATGATTTCACAAGTGCTTGTGGTGGAGCTGTCAAATGACAAGGGCTAATATCAGTGTCTGTAGTGGGGTTTTGTTTGTTTTGTTCTGGTTTTTTACTGCTGTATAATTAAAATTTACACAGATCTTTGTTGGCATGTGAAGTACTGATAATCTGTATCTTGTATCCTGGAGCATGTACTCTGTATGTGATGGCTTTTATGTTATTCTTTTTCTATGTGTAGCGACATACAGGAACCCAGAGCTTGAACATGTAGCAACAGAAGACGAACTAGCAAAAATACAGGCATATAAAAATAAGTTAGCGGTCATCGGTGAGGTGCTTTCACGGAGACACATGAAAGTGGCATTTTTTGGCAGGTAATGAATGGAATTACCAGAACTAATTTGATCTTCTTTTTTTTTACTTTACAGGGCTTAGCGTCCATGTTTCTAATTTAAATGCACTGGAATTAGTGCTTCATCTTAGAATTATTGTTTGAAATATAATACATAAAACCATGTTCACTCTTATCTATTTGATGCTGAATATTTCTTTGATGTCTTGTTACGTGTTTTCATTGATAAACTTTGTAAAATAATTATCTTGTGTAGATCCATTATTTGACTTAGGAAGGTCTGACTTTGTTGTCATCTTCTCCAGAATGGCTTTTTCTGTTTTTTTAATGTGGTGGTTTTGTTTTTTTAATACCATTTTTTTTACTGGACTGTTACTGTTGAGAACTTTTGTTTGTGTTTGATCACAAGTAGTGAAAAACTTTGAGCTGTTTATGTTTCCGTATATAAGCAGCTGAAGAAAAATAGACAGTTGTGAGATGGTTGCCTTGTTCGTTGTATCATTAGTCTGATAGATCTGTGTGATGATTATAAGGGATAACAGTAAGAATGTACTGTATGGCTTACAGATCAATCTGAATGAAGCTATGAATTTCTGCTTTCCTGAACCACTGATTAGGAAGAGTTCTAGTTCACAGTCCTTGGTGGTATTACTACAGACCTTTTGCATATTTAGATGGCATTTCCAAAGTTATGGGTGATGTAAATTCACTTCTCTCCTTGGGGGGAGGGGGAAGTATTTCCAGTATTAGAAAATTTTTAACTTTGGTCAGCTTGGGATCATCTCAGCTATATTTTTTTTACTTTTGCGGCAAGAAAAAAGGGAGTTAAAAAGAAAGGTATTTGTTGCACCTGAAATGTGTTACTAATAAGAAGTATTCTAAAGAGATGCTGTCAGGTGTATATACCCAAAGCACTGAGGTTTTATGTGTCTCTGCTTGTACGTATTGTGTTTTGCATTTCAGTCTCATCTTAGTGGAAAAGTCTTAAGTTTTCAGTGAGAAATTTTGATTGGGTCTTAACACTTCCAATAAATGTCTGCATTCCAAACATCGTGCCATTCTGTTCCTATAAAATTTGGAGGGTGTAGAAAGATGATGAAAATCTGCCTTACCAAATGTGAAGTCAGATATAAAATAGTGAAGTTCTTCTAAAAGACTACAGTTCCAGTGCTTTCAAATGTTTATATGTGCCTGGTTGTCTGGGGTCTGCTAGTCCTCTTTGCTTCAGGAAGATTGGTTTTTCTGCGCTTAAATTTAAGCGTGTGGTTACATATTTTTTCTGGAGTATGAATCTTCATGTTTTAGTTCTAAAAATTCTGTAATGATATTGGAAAAAATGTGTACAACAGTGGTCTTGCCTTAATTTTGCTAAAAATAGTTCAGCTATTTAAAGAAAAACAATAAAAGGATCTGGGATAAAGAAATTAGTTATATCTCAGCCTTGATATTTCACAAAGTTAAAAGTTGAATACATTTACAAGCTGTGACATGTGATATAAGTTGGTTTTGCAAAGGGCGGAAGTTCAGAGCAGGAAAAAGAAAATTTAACTCTCCCGCTGACATTTTGAAAAAATTTGTGAAGTGTTGTACAGTGGGCACTGAACTTTTTCTAGAAGAAGTAGCTCAAAAATAAGTTAGTCTGTGTAACTTCATACTGTTGTGTAATAGTTAAACCTCAAGTATTTATGGGTGAGGGGTAGAGGGTTAGTGCGAAGTAGGACATGGCTGAGAACTTCAAGTTCTTGCAAAATCTTGAGTTGGTGACCGGTTCCTTTTAATCAACAGGGTTTTGATTAATTTAGCTACCTCTTCCTTCTGAAATAAGGACAAGACTAAGTTTCATTATTAAGGACAGCGTTTGCATTTTAAGGATTATGCACAAGAAATGAATTTCAGGGTTTTTTGCACATTGTTACACGTCTTACTGTAAGAATCTTCATTCAGGTGAGATTGTCATCCATTAAATTGTTCTGAGTTGTCATTCTGGGTGTGATGAGAATTCCCAGACAGCAATGCTTTGAAACGTATCTGAAGGCAGTAGTACAGCGATGCTCCTTTTGCACCTCATCTTGTGCCTAGAAGACTCTATCAGAAGCAGCAGTTCCTTTCTCACTGGTGATGATCAGATGTTTCTCTAAAGACAGGCTAAGTTGCTGAGGTGGTAATTTCACGAACATTTTAAGGAGTCACCGTTGCTTGCCACTATACAGGGTAGTCCTTCCCTGCCCCTGTCATGCAGCGTTCTCCTCGTGTCCTCCTCCAGCATCCCTGGAATTCCTGTGAAATCCCTGGAATTTGCTGTGAGCAGGAAAATCAGAACATAATTCTGCCCAGAATGTTACGTATAGTTTCAATCAGTTCTTTTCTACAGGAATGCTAGGCCTGGCACAAAGAAGAGGGCAGGCTGCCCCCTTATGTGGGACAGCATGCTGTGATTTAGCAATTACTTTAAGTTGATCTAAGGCATCTTTTTATGCTAGATGCTTTTTCTGGTGTAGCAAAGTCGAGCCAATATCTTTTACAAATTCCTTACTCAGACGGAGGTACACCAGATAAACCGTGCTTCGCAGTACAGGTTGGGCTTGTTGAGCCAATATGTGTTGTGCAAATGAAAATTGGTTTTCTTGGTTGGATGGGCAATGTTGATACCAAGAAAGATTTTTGGAATTGCTATTCAGATGAACTTTTCCTGCACTCCCTATTCTTTTCTGGCAAGCTATGCTGTACTGGCTTGAAACTCTATCACCTGAAACAGCTTGCAGTATGTAGGTCTGATGCAATTAAACGGGGGCCCATTCAGTTCAAGACTAAGGTATGTGTAATGCTGCTGTGCTGTGCTCAAAGTGCTTTTATTTTCTATCCCTCTAGAACGAGCAGTGGGAAAAGTTCGGTTATTAATGCGATGCTGTGGGATAAGGTACTTCCTAGTGGGATTGGCCATACAACTAACTGCTTTCTTAGTGTGGAAGGGACAGATGGAGATAAGGCTTATCTTATGACAGAAGGATCAGATGAAAAGAAGAGTGTCAAGGTACGGGTTTTGAATGATTAATGGTACTTTTCACACTAACTATTTCTCAAAAGATGTATCTTTTAACAACGATTTCAAGTCTAACAAAAGTATAAGGCTAACTCATTCTGCATCTTTAAGCTCTTATTTAGGAGGGAATAACTAACAAAGTGAAATGGTCACCTTCACAATTTTTCTTGGCTATTTCAGAGAAACAACTAATGTGTGTCTGATTGTAGTATAGCATATGTTGAGTAATCTATTTTTATAGGACTGAGAGTAAGTTCTGTTACTTGTTAAAGATTTGGAATGTCCTCTCATTTGGCCTTACGGTGCTTAGTTTATTTAGCTGTTCATATGTTAAACCTCTGAGGCAAATTCATGATGATGCTCAGTATCACGTGCTCCAGCCCTGTAAGGAATACAACTTTGTGGCTCCAAAGAAACTCCTGTCTGAGTTTCAAGGCACAACTTGTTCTTTAGATGCTGTGAGTCTAAGAGGTTGAAAAAAAAAAAAAGAAAAATCGTAAGTATTCACCAGAAGAAGTATGATCTCTGCTCTCCTATTCAAGATAGATCCTGTCCAGGTTTGCTTGAGAAACAAATTAGGCTGGTATACAGACTTGTTTGTGGTGCATATTCATGTTTGTCTTCTCTTTATGCTCTTTATAGACAGTCAATCAGCTTGCTCATGCACTTCACATGGATAAAGATTTGCAAGCTGGCTGTCTCGTCCATGTCTTTTGGCCCAAGTCAAAGTGTGCCCTGCTGAGAGATGATTTGGTTTTAGTGGACAGGTATGGTTTCTGTTTTAGTAAATACTTTCTTAAATAAATTAGCCATTATAATGTTTAGAAAAGAGACTGGTTTACTGATTGATGGTGTTTTGGTTTGGTTGCCAAATTATTGAAAAGCTTTCTCCCACTCCCCCTTCCCCCCCCGTTTTTTTTTGGTTTTTGTTTTTTTGAGGGTACAGAGTTTGTTCTTTTGTGTGTACTGTGGCCTGTCATCACCCCACTGATTTTGGCCTTGTAACAGCTGGAACAAACAAATGTCTTGTGATTGAGCTGAATAGGGGACTAGCTTTTGGCTGAGGATACTTCCACCTTTAAAACAAACAGTATGGAAGCGTGAATAGGGTTGTTGCAGCAACAACCTTTTGCCCATCTCCTGCCTTTAAATGCTTCAGACTGATCATGTGACATGTAAGCAATCTGGACTTCATTTTTAAAAGCTTCTGATAAGAGTTGCAGTGCCTACGTATCAAAGTAATGGGTGACCTCAAAACGTAATTGTGAGTGTCGTCTGTGTGTGCCTGTGTGTTGGGCTAACATTTCCTACAGTTTGTATATTTAAAGAATTCTGAAAGTTGTTTTTTTGCCTATGTCAAATGCCCATATTCCTGGCTGCTTTGAGGTATGACCTGGTAATATTTTTTCAGACTGTTAGGTGATCTGTACCTAATGTGTGAATCAATATAGATTGAATTTGTGAGTAATTCACTCAAGTATGAGTGAATTTGTAAGTATGATTTCTTCATATCCGGCCACTTAACATTCAGAGTGTATTTTGATAAATTGTAGTGCTTTTTATTGCATCTCTAATCTTAGCCTTTGAAATCACTGGGAGTTTGTCATTGTTTTCTTGAGTGCAAGCTCGGGTCCTGTTAGTCACAGAAAAAGCCAGCCTGGCTGGCACAGGGAGCTGGTTGGTTTGATGCGCTGCTGGACTTCTGATCTTACGCAGTTGTGCCGTCTCCCTGGGGATATGTGTGTAGCACAAGTATGCTGGAAGCCCAGAAGGGATCCTTGCATAGATATGATATAAGGCATGATTTGATCTGCACAGTCTCCGTTCCTAAAGGTGAAATGTAAAAGAAAAAGAAAACAGCCTGGAATCTGAGAGAACAGGTACTTGTAAGGAGAAAATAATCTTTTTACTGTTAAATAGAGCAAATTAGAACCAACAATAGTTGAGGTGCTGCAAACATGACCTAATGCTCATATTCCACTTATTTTTGAAAAACTGACAGCACTGTAGTTTTAGCTTCATTTTAATTTGTTATTAAATCTATGCACAGCTTGTATAGCATATCACTTTAAAGAAGGCCTTGATGAATGGAAAAAATATTTTATGAACAACTGTCCTTTTTGATTAAAATCTAAAACTTGGAATATGGGGAGGGGACCATTCTGTGAGACTGCCTGGATTTCTGACAGACTGCCTGTCACTTTCCTTGGCTATTATGCTCTGCATATTTATTCGTTAGAAATTGCATTTTGGAATGAGTAGATGGTCCAGTGAGTGAGTGACTGATAAATGCTAAATGGTAATTGGCTTTTGCTATGTTTGCATTAAGCTTGAGTTAAGCATCAGTCTAAAGATACAAAGCTTTGTATCTTCTTACAAGGCCCTTAGGCAACCCCACTCTATCAGTTTCTAGAAATCAAATACTCCTTTGCTGGATAAATATGAGTTTCTGTTTTTTTATTCTCAACAGCCCTGGCACAGATGTCACTACAGAACTGGACAGCTGGATTGACAAATTCTGCTTAGATGCTGACGTGTTTGTCTTGGTTGCCAATTCTGAATCGACTCTAATGAACACGGTATGATGTGCAATGATTTTACGTTACTTCTTCATTTAAATACTCAGCAGTTCCATAACTGAAATGGCTTCTATTAGACCTTTACTGAAGCTCCCATGAATCATTGCACTTGGATCTTGTGGATAGGATTTGGGGGTGGGAGGCAGGAAACGATGTATATCCCTCAATAGGGAAAGGAGAACCAGGTTTCTTATCAGCTTTGCTTACTCTGACTTGAGCATCACATTTATCCTTTTTATCTCAGTTTCTTTTTTGATAAATGGATGATGTAGTGCTTGTCTCGCTTTACAGTTTGTTGATACTTGTCAGCTGAAGACACTTGTATTATCAAAGAAATACATTATGGAGTATTTCATATCCAGAAGTTCAGTAACATACACAAAGTGAAGGAAGTTGAATTTCTGTCTTGTTCCTCATGTGTTCTTGCCTCAGAAGAGGGTGAATTCCTTTGATACACCTTGTGTTGAGGACGAGTGCTACAGGTTGCCTTCATTGGACTGTGTTTCTTCTGAAGATGCTAGCAATAAGCATTCATGTTGCATGATTCTGTGCAACACGGAGAGCTGAAGATGTTTTAACAACTTTATTCTATAAAGCCTTGTTTCAAGAGAGAGAAATCTTCTGTATACCTTGCAGCCTAAATGTTGTGTGACTCATGGAAGGACAGGCCAAAGGAGCTGTTGTGATACTCAATATACAAGACCAGAGATTTGCTTTAATTTTGTAGTGATCTCCAGTTTTGACTAAAATAAGTATTTTGAGTGCAGACAATATCAATATAAGGTTTCTAAGTTATTGGAAGTAGGACTGCCAGAATATAGTGTAATGCTACTGAGAAATCTCTTGAAGACTTTTATTAAGCCTACTATAGACGAAGAAAATGCTCTGATTGTTCTGAGCATAGTTCTGACATGCAGTGTCTGAACTTTCTAATTATTGAGGCAATTTTTAATACAATAAAGAACTGAATGTACAAAGACAGTATTTCCTTGCATTCTAGAAAATTACAATAGTTTGGTAGAAATCTGAGAAGAACATAAAATGAGTGTAAAAACTCATTACATTCCATCTTCTGAGCCGAATCCACAAAGACTCAAATACAAACGAGATGTGATTTAAAAGGCAAAGAAAGAAGATTCTGACAGCATCCAAGGCAAAGAGAGGATTTGGTACAACTATGGCTGTATCTTCTCCATTATCTCATGTGAAGGACGCTTTTTGGCTTTTAGTATGGAGGGAGTCTAGAAATTGTTTGCATTATGTGCATACCATAGGTGGTTTGCTTTTTTAATTAAAAAAAGGAAGAAGAAAAAAAGATTGGGTTTTAGTGAACACCTCATTACTACATAGAAACATGGAAACAATAGGCACCTGAGTGCGAGATTTCATTTTGGTGTAATAAACTAACAGAGAAAAGGCGAAATTTGACTTGGTTCTCTCATTTGCTCAGGAGAAATGAACCATTAAAAACAATCTGAGTGAGATTGTGAATATGGAGGAAAGACGTATAGGCTGTACGTCTACTGGAAGATTCTCTAACTTTGGTTTTGTCTGATCCTTAACACCCAGTCACAGAAGTGCTACTCTGCTTTTTAATGTGATTTTTGGCCAATCTTTGTTCCTTGTCGGGCGTGGCTGAAAGCTGCTAAATAGAAATAGGTTAGTCTTGCAATTTGTTTGAAGCATTAAAGCGTTGCCGAGGTTTTTTTGATTGCCATGCCTGTAAATCCTCAGTTAACACTGAGCACCTTGTAATTATTAGAATCTGGAAATAACCAGTGTCCAGGGTGTATATTGGAGCAAAAGGAAGTAGATCTTAGTTGTGATTGAGGCTTTGGCTCAGTAAACAGCTCTCTTACTTTTTCTCCTTTTCCGTTATTTCAGCCTGGTAGACACAAATGAAGTTGCCTTTTACAATTATGTAACTGCTCTAAAGCATTTGTATTGTGCTTTGCATTGTGGCAAATGGTAATTTCTTTCTTGATCTACATTTATCCTTCAGGTAAAGCATATGATAACTATGTTCTCATCCTCCTTAGGCATTATTTATTTTTACCTCTTACCGTAACAGGTTTGAGAATATTTGGCAGCTGCTACACAACCACAGATTTTTTGCATATATGTGATTTTTCTAGTATTCCCTCATAAATTCTCTTCAGACGAAGTTCTTATTTCTGCAATAGTAATCTTGTTTACACATGCTTACTCCCTGGCTGATGGAGACTAATATATCTCCAGTGTTGTGTCCAGAATATGTGGTGGTGTCGTGCTGCAGATTCAAAAAGCTTATGGCAGCACGGAGATCTCTTCTGTTTGAGCTGTGCTGAGTGGGGATTCACTCCATCACGACTTATCCATTATGACTGTGAAAACAGCAATGATGGGTGGTAGGTACGGGCAAGGGACCTAAATACGTTTTCAGGTACATGCATGTCTTGTTTTTAAAATTAAAACAGTCAGCAATGACTTTTTTCCTGTGGCTCAAGCCGTACATCTTCATATAGGAAATGTAACTTGTCTGTACTTGAAGCTGATGTTGCCTAGTTGAGGAATATAGTCAGAGGATGTTTTTCTGGATATAGAAGCCAGATTTGGCAGGGTGAACAGGAGCATCTTGGTAGTTCAAATAAGGAAGACTTCACAGTTTTAGCCAGGGGTCTTATTTAAAAGAAAAATGAGTAGATACAGTCATGTTTTGTGTGTTCTTTTTCCCTTCGTCTCTTCCAACACAATATTTTGAGTGTCACAATTGCAAACAAATTTAATAGAGGGCTAGAAGTGTCAAAGGAGGTGACGTTTTGTGATAGTGAGAGTGAAAAAAGGAGAAAAAAAAAAAAAAGACAGTGAATGATGTGATAGATTTATAGAAAAATAGATTTTCTTTTCCAGTGTTTTCTAAACTATTTGTTTTGGGAGTTTTCCTAATTTGTATTCGTACCTGTTTTTAGAGAAGCTCGCAGTATCTTTGACTTTTAGCATTGGCAGTTTTAAGACATTTGGTGACTTTTGAACTATTATAAGCCTTTTTTTATGTTGGATATCTGTGGGTTTTAATGCTAATGAATTCTTTCAAATAAACTTTTTAAAAGCTGGATTAACTTCAGAATCTGTTGCAGAAGAATGCGTGACTTTGATTTGAACGTCTAGGGAGTTTTCTGTTTGTGCTTTAATTCTTAGGAAAAACATTTCTTCCATAAAGTGAACGAACGACTTTCCAAGCCAAACATCTTCATCTTGAATAATAGATGGGATGCCTCCGCATCAGAACCAGAATATATGGAAGATGTGAGTAACTTGATGACTCTTATTTGGGTTGATTTTAAAAAAAAAAAAAAAAAAGGCCTACACATGCATAAAAGCATGCTAAATTGCCTAGGTAATACAGTTATTAATATCAAAACACCAGCTTTGTCTTAGTGATAAAGGATAAGTTACTTGGTCAGAAAATGGAAATAACTTATTTCTTGTTCAGAGCAAAATGCAACCTGCAATTCAAACTACAATATATGCAAGCAGGTAATACAATGGGAAGCTTGTTTAGAACCTTTTTCCTCCATGGTTAAGCTTGTTTTTAATCTTCTTTCTATTACCTTTTATTTCTGTAATGGTAATGCAGCCTAAGGGTACAGATTATACATGTATACAGGCATAGTAGTGTTAGATGGTAACAGTTCAGTGTGCTTTTCAGATCTTTCCAACGGCAACTAGCTTACATAAATACAGGCAGTTGTAGAAGAAAATATTGTTGCTTCCAGGGCTGTTTAAATGGTTAAAAGCAGCTGCTGCATCAGTAGGATTAGAAGGCATCTGCTATCTAAGGGGTTGTCCAGGATCTGTTTCTGACTCTGATGTTCTAATTTGACGACGGCTTAATTTTTGCATTTTTCTCATGAGCTTTTTACCTTTTCCTCAGGTGCGTAGGCAGCACATGGAGCGTTGTCTGACTTTTCTAGTTGATGAGCTCAAAGTTATTGATCCTGTAGAAGCAAGGAATCGCATCTTTTTTGTTTCAGCAAAAGAAGTTCTGAGTGCCAGGAGACAGAAGGCCCAAGGAATGCCAGAGGGTGGTGTGTAGGAACTCTTGCTTTCCGTCAAATACAGAAAAATATTGTAAAACCTGATAAACAAAAATATTTAAGATACAGTCACTGCTGTGAGGTATTGCTCTCTCCCTTATGGTCCGTTATGTTTCACAGGTGGAGCACTTGCTGAAGGATTTCAAACAAGATTCCAGGAATTTCAACATTTTGAGCAGATATTTGAGGTATTTATAATGGGCTTTTTAGACTGCCTGTTTTTTAATGCAAAGGTGGCTTTTGCTTATGCTTATCTTAATTTTACTGAATATAACCCGTGTTAACAAGTGGAGGAGTGTAAGGTATTCAGACCATGTGACAGCTTTGCCTTATCTGTGGGCTCTGTTCATCTGTTCTCACCTTGAATAGCAGGTAGTTGTTGGAAAAAGAAGTATTGTTCGGTGAGGGAAAGGATCAAAACTGGCTCTCAGCTCATGTTTTGGGACCTCAGTATGAATATAGTCTATATAAAAAGAGACGATGCTCTTAGAAAGGAGTGTATCACTTAGAACCATGAGCTGGTGAAATGTTTGCTGGATAGTAAGCCTTACTTTGTTCTGAAGTTGTAGCTTTGTAATTAATTGTTGTAATTCAGGACACAAATAGTAAGAAATTCTGTTTCACCAATGCAAATCTAAATATTCACTTGCATTTTTAAAGCCAGAGTTTTGAAATTATCACCATTATCTACCTCTTAGCTCTGATACTCTGAACACTAACACTATTTTTGCATCCTTGTTGCTGTACAGAATCCATCCTTCACCCTCAATTTACCTATATTCATAGTTGGAGTTTACAGTTTCTTCAGAAGTTGGACTGGCTAGGCAATTGAGTAATTTCTTTGTAATAGGATTCATTTGTCTTGCTGAATTTGTAACTCTAATTAGTTAAAGCCATTCTTGGGTATCTTAAGGAGGCATTTTGGATATGCCTTGATGGTTTTGTGTGGTATGTATCGGCATATTTCATGCAGCATGAGCCTCAACAGTATGACTGTAGTTTGTATACAGCAAATGCTCAAGACTGCTCTTGCATGCTTCCAGTAATCCTTGTTTATTATATTTTTTAAAAATCAAACTGCCTCTGAAAAGTATTTCTTCTCTTATTACAGCAAGCCCATTTGACTTTAGCAAAACCGAGTTATGTAATGATATCAAAAAGGTGTTAAAATAACAGTTTGATTCAGTCTTGCAAAAGCAAGAAAATGTCAGACTAAAGTTTAAATTTAATCCTTATCCACACTCTTATGATAGATGACTGAGTTGTTGAAATTATTGGTTCAGAATACTGGCAGGGCCTGAGTCCATGAGGCATGCAATTTCTTGCTTGTGTCAGTAGTTGTAGCCAAACATATGGTTTTGTTTGTAATTTTTGTCCTTAGAATTATAGTAGGAAACTTTCAACCAGTAGGAAGAAAAGTAGAAATTTAGTTTCTAAATCAATTATCATCCTTTAACATATTTTGCCATGTGCTGTACCTAAAGCTTTTTTGACAAAATCTCTTACAGTTACAGTTAAGCACTCAACACTTAGGATATTTCAAGATTAAGATGGATGTATGACTTACTAAATGATATGATGCTATAAGTGTTCAGCACATCTGTAAATCAGATGTCATAGTCTTGAGTTGGCCACCAAAATGAGAAGCATCCATCACAAGGTCAAAACCGTAACAAGTTTTTTTGGCAGAGGCAGGGACAAAAAACAACTCTGTGACAGCACTGAATGGCCTTAAAACAACTTTTTTCTTCTTTCACATTACCTGTTTTGTTTGTTGCACACCTTCCAACTCCAACAGGGAGAGTGGATTCTGTAATGTTTTTCCCTGCTCAGCCGTGTTTCATCCTGAAATCATAATGAGTGGCTTTAAATAGGAGTGTGATCACATCACTTAAAGAGCATGACAACATGTGCTAAATTAAGATTGCCAAAGCAATTTGAATTTTGAGCATCTGATGTTGCAGCCTCTTCCACATTCAGGTTTTGTGGGCAATTTCCTAAATTATAATGGCATTTTATTTGCTTTTAAAGCAAGGCTGATACTTAAATGGTTCACCAGGTCTGAAATCTTCAGACCTAATACTCAAATTACTGTGGCTTGAGCTGATAAAGTAACCAATGACGGTAGTATGCTGGTGTCAGTTATGTTTACCAGCACTAGGCTATACCAGTTCATATATTAATGAAGAATATTGTACATCAGGTAGAATTTTCTGTGTTCAGTCTGGGAACAAAATCCTACTTGATACCATGCTTCATGCACTGCTAGACCAACTTCAGATGCTGTTTAGCCGTGAGTACAGCTTAAGCACTTCCGACTAAAATGCTTTGCATTTATCCTGTTTCCTGACAGAGGAGCTGCAAGTCCCAAGACTCTTGGATTACACTCCAGTCTGTGAAATGGAAGGGACGAGAGCACAGATGCTTCTGTCTGTCCTCGTCAAACACTGACCCCTTCTCTGGCTCCATCTGTCTGTCTTGCCTTTAGGTCCTTGTCCCTGTTCGGGTGCCCTGCTCAGACTTTCCAAACATCTCTTGTGCCCTTTCGTCCAGTTCATGTCTCTTAGCTATCTCATCACCTGATTTATAAATCCGTCCATGCATTCCATGTTCCCACTGGCTGTATCTGCTGGTTTTGCTCCTTCTGGATTCTCTCACCCTGCTTTTGTCTTCACTAAAATTGGACAGCTTCTTCCTCTTTTCCACGAGGGCTGAGAGGAGGAACTGTTACTTCTCCAGTACTTCCACATTCCTGATCTTAATATCAGTTCCCTGATGGGAAAGTCTGTTCATACCAGGACTGATATGAGCTCAGTATAGCTAGAATCGTAAAAAAAATCTAGAAGCAACCCATCACTGCTAGTTTGTTGTGATATGGGAAAAATTTGGACCATTTTTGAAATGTTTGTAACTACATTTATGTAGACTTTTGTGTGAGGGCAAAAGGCATTCCAAAAATCTATATAACATATTCTTCTGCAAAGCACAGGGTGGTTAAAGTTGCTAAAAGAAAAACTGGTCCAGGCATTACTAGAAACACCTATAAGCACTGGTGAGATTAAGCTTCTAGAGATTCATGTAGTAGCTTTAAAAAGTGATGTTACTATGTATGTCAGCTGTATTACAATAAAGAACGATATGCAGCCTTAAAGGAAAGGGTTGGATTAGTGGACCAATTCTGAATTTTTATATTGTGGAATAACACAAAGTAGCCTGTGTATCGTTCTTCTGAAATTTTACAATGAGATACATAAAATGCCTTATCGAAACAGCAAATGAAACGGTGCACTGCGTGCAGTAGTCCTTAGTGGATATTCTACATAAAACCAAACCCCACTATGCCTCAGGTTGTAGTGTTTCCCAAGTTCCTTTAAAAAACTGGTAACAGAAATGCTGTGGGGAGGAGTGGAGGATGGAGGCAGGGCAGAATAGTAATTCTGTCTGTAAATTGGAGTGAATAACACAGCCTGACGCTACTGCAGAGTCCTTCCCTAACTGCATGGGAATGTAGTAAGCTGTGCCCTTAAAGACTGCCTTGCTATACTGGAAGTGGGCTGGAAGGTAACTGGTTTTGGTTACGCAGTTGAAACATACCTTTTCTCTTTGTTTTGATAAATACTTATTTACAGACTAACAGCAAAACTGCTGCTGTCCCGCTCTTATCTTTCCCAGTTGTTTAACTAACCTTTGTGTTTTTCCTAGTGCTCTAACTTGGATTTTCTGATTGTGTTGTGAGTGACTGTCATCCTTTTATCTACTGCGTACTAATGTTGGGAAGACTCTTTCCTCTGTGTCTAGTCTAGCTCTTACAATGTGCTGATATTTGTGAAACTCTGGCCTTTCATTGCTGATTTCTAGATCTGCTTCATCGAGGAATAGGGAATATATTTTACCCATTTTGTTTATTTTGTTTTGATCTATTGTTTTTAGATAGCTGAAATTTACTACTACAGCGTATGTTAAGGTCGTAGGCAAGTTCTTTTAAAAGCAACCTAAACCAGTTTGTGCTATGAAAGGTGCATCAATAGATTGAGAACAATTTAAAAAACCCGTAGATCTGGCATAGAGAAACGAAACTGCTTGCTTTCTTCCCCTCAAACACAGATGATGTTGCTACTTTGTGGTGACTTAGTGCAGGTTGAATTCCAACAGCATTTAATTGGCTGCATAACTCAGGATGTGCAGTTGCCTGAAAAAAGTCAGTCTTAATTTATGGTTTATCACAATTGATTTGTTTTTGCCCAAATTGAACATTTGCATATCTTTTCAAGCAGTGTCCTGTAATTTCTGAATCACTGTACAATATTCAAGATTGCAGATTGATTAGAAATTGTATCTTTAGAGCATTCTGTACTAGTTCATTTAACACTTCAATAATCTGCAAATAGGCTAGTATTTTAAGGACTACTTAACAACTTTTTTTTATCCTTTGAGAGAATCCTTGTTTCTTATTCCTAATTGTATATTTTGTTCCTGGATGGTCAGTATTGACATGAGCAAGTCAAATTTTATTGACAGAACTGCTTCTTGAAACTAAGAATATTTATCGCAAGAAAGAAAACTCAAGCTAGGCAATATTGCCAGCATTCATGTTAGACATATATAATTCCGAAGAGATAGTTTGGAAAATTTCCTGAAGAGCTAGATTTATCTTACGTATTCATCTGAGTTTTCTTTTTTCTTTACACTGTTAATTTATTTTTAGAGAATAAAAACCTGTGCACATTACTGTGGATGAACATGAAGGTACAGATTTGCTGCTATAGACTCATTTGAGATTTCAGTTCTGTTGTCTTTTAATTTCTATATGCTTTCTCCTTTTTATTTCCAATTGGTTTAAGTTCACGGTAAAATTAGCAGCATGTGCTTTCTGATAGTGAAATTCCTGAAAGTGTTGGCATGGAATTGCAGTAATGTGTTGTGGCTTGGGCCCCTCGCAGGAGTGTATCTCGCAGTCAGCCGTGAAAACCAAGTTTGAACAGCACACTATCAGAGCTAAACAGATAATAGATACTGTGAAAAACATTATGGACGCCATAAACGTAGCAGCAGCAGAGAAAAGGTAGGTTGGTTGGAGGGCTGGTTGGCTTTGGTTTATCCAGATCCTCTGAGGAACCATTTCTATGCTGGTGATTTTCTTGGGCCATTATGGACTTTAAAATTCACTTTTCTCACTTGGTAAGAAATAGAGAATTTCTCTGGTGTGTCAGTCTTACTACTCTTCACTTGCACCGCTCAGTCTTGTCTTTGGTCTGTGACTTCTGTATAGGGAACTTGGTTTATTTTGTTATTCTTTGTTACTGACTTACAGTTACAAAGGCAGTCTGTGGGTTTTCAAATGTTTTTTTTTTTTCAGAAATATTTGAAATTTTAAGTTTTTCTAGCTATATCCAGCATTTCAGAAGTGATGTTTGGGCCTGTTTTACCTAAGTTTTTTGTTAACAGTAACACTGAGAAAATAAATGGGAGGACGTAGACACTTCCATTCGCAAGTGGTTAGAATACTGTAAGGGATGAGAAGAGCCCAAGCTAACAGAGGCTTGGCCTCTGGCCCTTTCCAGATTGTATCCTTAAATACCTTTATTCTCTCTTTGCTCATGTAATCCTTTTAGTGCTAATGATAGCAGCTCATCTACTCTGTCTGATAGTTTCATACATTCTTTGAAGTTTGCATATATATGGGTTTTTTCCTCACTTTTGTTGCTACCTCATCTCTTGTACACGGTGAACTTGCTGTCGTGTTGAATCTTTTCCATCCATCTCCTTTCTGTGTCTGTTAATAGTGTGCCTTTATGTTTCAACAGACTCCACTGTGCCTGTCACACTCATCTTCCTGAACATATCAGCTTTTACAAACTGCGTGTTTACATACTAACTTGTCTCACGTTGTCAGATCCTCTGAAAACATGCTGTGAAATGTTTGAAAGTATTCTGATAGTCTACTTCTTTCTGTCAATTGACCTGCCAAAACCTGTGTAGTGCCCCCTCCTAATCTGAATTGCTGTTTGATGTTTCTGCTGGCCCTTCAAGATATAACTGCTTTAGATTTTAAGCAATTTTTACTTAAATGTTAGGTCCAGGACTTCTGAAACGAATTATTTGTGACAAGAGAATTATTTGTGACAAGGTTAGTTTCTGCTGCCTCCTCTTTGCTTTGCAGGGCCATCAGACCCATGTCACTGTTACGGAATAGTTGAGTGGTGCTGGTGAGCAGCAGTAGGACAGTTTGATCAGATTTATCCTTCTTTTTTTTATTTTTAAATCAGGATAGACTAAGTATTAAAGGCCCCTGATTCCCCTCCGGCTTTTTTAGTTGTAATCATATAACTCCAAAAGCTGTTTTTGTAAATACATCAAAACCCAGTCATTTGAGTCATGTTCAATCAGTGCAGCCTTTAAATGCACCTGTAAATTTCATATCTATATTGCAGTCATTCTGAAGCAGTGCCTCTGCTTTGTTCAGCCAGCGTCACTTTGGATTATTTTTGGCTGCTCAGTAAACCCATCAGCTAGGTGGTCCATGCCTGGTTATGGGGCTTGTTTCATTACTGGGAGAATACCTGCTGGTGATGGTGATTTCCTTTCTGCTATGTTAGAGTCCATTCAATGGAAGAGCGAGAAGATCAGAAGGATAGATTGGACTTTGTTCGAAATCAGCTTAACATTTTGACGGAAGATACTAAGGAAAAAATCAAACGTGTTACTGAGGAAGTAGAAAATAAAGTAAGTAATGGCAGTGTGAAAAATCTCCTAGGTTCAAGTGTTGTCTGTTCTGTAAGGCAGCTTCTTTAGGTGCCCACCCACCTTACGAAGCACGTTTGAAATGTCTAGTATCTTCCTTTTCCAATATTAAAAAAAAAAAAAAAAAGAAAAAACCTTCAAAATGGCAATTCTTCTTGAATATCAGGTAATGGAATCATTTATTGTAACAGTTAATGCAGTGGTCTGTTTTCACTCTGGCTGGAAAAGGTGGGAGAAACATTTTTTGCATTTACCACATTCTTCCAGGTCTCCTCTGCCATGACCGATGAGATTTGCCGACTTTCAGTTTTAGTTGATGAATTTTATTCAGATTTTCACCCTTCTCCTCAAGTATTGAAGCTCTATAAGACAGTAAGTTTTCTTGCATGGTTTGAAGCCAGGCTCTTTGTCTTTCTTTTAATTTCTGTATTTTCATAATTTGCATAGCATTTTATGTGACACTTTGTTTAAGCACTGCAGGATTTTTACTTTCTGACAGATGCATATCTCTGTTTACCTAAAACTGGAAAAGGTTAAAAATATTTTCTGCTTTGTTTTTGGAAAGAAATTAATTTTTGTTTCAACTGTCTTTTTACTAGAGTGAACATAAAATGAAATAGATCAAAAAATAAAACGAGCTTGCCAATACCCAACACTTTATAGGTTTTTTTATTTTAAAGAAAAAAGGGAGTTTTTACTAAACATCTATAAATTTTCCTCAAACTTCGTATTTTAAAGGAGCATACACCTGTAAGTTTCGGGGTTTGCCTCTTATGCTCAGACTTTGCTGCTAATGAATGACTGCCCTAACTCCCACCTGTTTCAGCCTTGTTGAGCAGCTGGGAGCGCTGCATTTTCAGGACAGTCTGTGCTGCCCTGGCTCTGCAGCATATCTGGCGCAGACCTCCATGGCAGTTGATGGCATCGGTTTATCTTTGTGCAGAGCAGTGAAATTGGCTCCCATGAAATGACGACAGTAAAGGCTTTGCAGGGCAGTATGGTAGTGGTATGCTTTTCAGTGTCACAGTTTATTTGAAAATACAGTCTTTTCCATATGCCTTTTAATGAGAAGAAGAAATCTTTCCTGTGTCACTTTAATTAGGTTTTCAGTCACAGTGTGCAATTTAAAAGCATGGTATTTCCATGGTAACATGTTTTTCTTCCCACTGTAAATAACAGTGCTTAGTGTTTAACATATCTCTGCTCTGTATAATGTAATTGATTAGCTAAAAATAAATTGATGAGCATATATTAATTATAAAATTTCAGGAATTGAACAAACATATAGAAGATGGTTTGGGAAAGAACCTGGCTGATCGTTGCTCCAGTGAAGTCAATCAGTCAATGCATCAGTCGCAGCAGGAGATGATTGGTAAGACGAGGAAGTTAAGACTTTTTGTTTAGAGGAAGACAATTTAAGAAAACTTGCTTTTAAAATAATTTTTTTTCTGATCGTGATTTAACATTAACACTATAAGAGGATAAAGGAAAAGCCATCCTAGATCAAGACTGAGTGTCTGTTCAGCTTAGTAGCTTGTCTCTGATATTAACCAGTAACAGAAGCTTGGGGAGAAGAATGATGAACCAGGGTAAATACAGTGATCCGTCCCCAATTTAGGGACTACTGAGCCAAGATACTGCATCTGGATTAATGGCTTAAACAAGTAGTAGTGGACCTGTCCTCTGGGAACTTGTCTAATCCTTTTATAAATCCATTTAAACTTTTGGCTTCCACAACAGATATATGAAATACACAAATTGTTAGATAATGTTTCTGCAGTATAATCCTCTCCCTAGGTCCCTCCAGATTCTTAGTGCAAAACAGGATAGTTTCACAAAGTATTTGTGCATGCCATTTTTTCTTTTTTTTTTTATAAGTAGTAACTTTATTGCATATCCATATCTCTCTTCTGATCTGTTTCTGGTAATAAAAGATTCAGAGCAAGATCATGGAATTACGTGAAGCCTTCTGTCATCTTATGGAATAATGTTGCCTTTTCTGTATGGCACCACAGAACTGCTGGATAAACCAACTTTTTCTTAGTCCATTCTTATCGTTTGACCACTGATAGAGGCCTTTCAGTTAATTCAGCCATTTTTTTCCGGCGGTGTTTTCTCTGAGTTGATTTTGCGTGACTGTTTTCTTTTATCAGAGCAATAAATTGCTCTGTTAGGATCAATACTGCTAAAATACCCATTATTTTACGAATTAAATAAATAGGTCATTTTACATTCTCATAGTTCACAAAGCTGGTGAGCAGTGCAAGGATGCTACTTGTGAATATGCTGTAAAGTTTTTAGTGTTAACTCCTCTTTACTATTCTGTTTTATTTCTAGAAAATCTGAAACCGTTGTTGCCTTCTGGTGCTCAGAATCAGCTCCACTTGCTAATTCCATGCAGGAGGTTTGACCTTAGCTATGATCTAAATTGTCATAGTCTGTGTGCAGATTTTCAAGAGGATATCATGTTCCACTTTTCCTTGGGATGGACTTCGCTTGTAAACCGTTTCTTGGGTCCTAAACAAGCTCAGAGAGTACTGTTGGGACTAGCAGATCCAAATTTACAAGTGAGTGCTTGATTATGCTGACATTTTAAGTGCCTTGTTTTAAGTGCCTTGATGAGAATATATTGATTTTTACTGTATTTGCCTCTACTATTTACATGCTTGCTGCTACTTTCCCGTAGTCCCTTTGTGTGAAATATTTTTGGTGAGGGTGGTTTTATTCGATTATATTCAGGGTGAGAATGGAACAAAAAACCTTCACTAAACTTTTTGCAGCTGTTGTCTGAGGTTTGTTTTCCTTTGGATTTCCTTTGGGTAACCTTTTCATTTGTAACTTTTGGATCCTTACGGCAGAGCCAGTCCTGCGTAGAACCCTTATGCTAATCCAGTCCCTGTTGGGCAAGGAACTGTCAAAACCTGCACTGCTTATCAGGAGCATTGTTCAGACTTCTGTGTTGAAAAGTTTCCTTTAAGTAAATCAAACCCTGAATATATGAAAGTAAAATAAAACCAGTCTACTGCATAGTTCCTTAATGCTTTTTACTCAGGCTGCCATATTCCCCTCTTCTAGATCCCTCGTCCTTTAGCTACCACCCCGTCTGCTGCCAGCCTTCCTGCCCTAACTCCAGAGAACGCATCGCACGATGATTTTATGGTTCCTTTGGTAATGAGTTTAGCTTCACTGACATCACGGACCTCTATGAGCATCATCGTTGTTGGCGGAGTGGCAAGTAGTATTAGCAACATTCACTGTGCTAAAAGCGATGGCAAAGATTAAGCTGGTCTTTCCTGTTTGGGGTGCAACATGAAGCGTATAATGGACTTAGTTACACTGGGCCGGATGAGCCGGCCAGTGTAGTACGCTGGATACCGGCAGTCAGTGTGTAGTGAGAAAATTAGTCTAACTACCCTGAGCATAGTTGGACATATTCTCTGTGTCATATGTCCGTGTTCAGTTTCTGAATTAAAGGATGATCTGATGGTGCCTCATTCAGTTTGGATTTAGTGGGAGCTTTGCTTTCTCCTTCCTCCTTCATTAAAAAGCAGCGAGGCTTCTGTAACCTGCATATTCTCCATGCCACTGGGGTACCAGCTCATTTGAATATAGCTGTATTGCTCTGCAATAATAATACAGAAATAATATATTTGCTTAAACTAATCTGGTGGAAGGGCCATGAAGATGATTAAAAAAGATGGATGTAATTCTATAAGGCAACTTACTTAAGCTAATGAAGATTCCTCTTTTTCAGATTTGGAGAACAGTAGGCTGGAAACTCATCTCTCTTTCTTTAAGTATGTATGGGTTGTTATATCTTTATGAGAGACTAACTTGGACCACTAAAGCAAAAGAGAGAGCCTTTAAACAGCAGTTTGTAAACTATGCTACTGAAAAGCTGCAGATGATCGTCAGTCTTACAAGTGCTAATTGCAGCCATCAGGTGCAACAGTAAGTATCACACTGGTGTTTCCCCTCACTAGGACAGGCAATCCATGTCAGTGCGGTACTGTGGTGTCCTGGGAGTGGGGACTGGCTGTACGTGATGTGGGAAGGCAGCTTTAGTGTCCTTTGGCATTTATTATGAGGGAGTTTTAAGAGTTTGAAATTACTACCTGAAAAGGTCGATACGTACGTCTCTGTGTGTGTATGTGCAAGAGTTAGTCTTAAGATGTAGACTCTCTTTTTCTGGCACCTTACCATGAAGACGTGGGAGTTGGCTCAGTTCTAGTGGAGGCTGAATTGGTCTGCTTTTAGATTAGCATTGAATCAGCCCCGAGTCACTTTAATGGTGAGCCTTTGTTCTGCCTCAAGGGTTGGTACGGGCAAGTTCTAAGCAGCCAGTGCTGGCTCTTCTGCACTGCGGAAGAGGAACTTAAGAGCCTTTCTGAACTGTTCCATCTTTTGTGTGTCACTTTTCCAGTTGTCTCTGCAAAGTAATGTCTGGGTGATTGTCTCCCTCAGCCTCTCCTGTTGAAACAGTTTGTTTTGATTAAATTATTATTTCAGAAAATTAGGCCTGCTAAATGAGACCTCTAACCACCAGGGTGCAGAACACCTCTCCTGTGTAGCCCAGGGAATACTTTACTAACCCAAAGTTCAGCTTCAGCAGAGGAAAGAGAATCATCCCCGTGTCCAGCCGCTGTGTGTCTCTGTGAGGACATGGAAGAGCTGGACTCAAACCAATGCTCCAGTGAGGTGAAGTAGAGAGGAGAGGAGAGGTCTCCTCTCCTACGGGAGAGCCTGGTTGCTGGCCTGGGGTGGTAACTGGGTTTTTTTCCTTTGTGTAAGGAGGAGTCTTGGAACTCAGGTTGGGAGCACATGGCTGAGGAGGCGAGTAGGGTCGGGTGCCTCAGCAAGTCTGGGGCACTCCTCAGCCTGCAAAGCGCTGATGTTCCCCGTGAGCAGGGCGCTTAGCGTGGCACGGGGCGCTGCACGGGAGGCATTTGGCTGCTCCAGCACCTGTTACCGCCAGAGTCCCCATCTGAGACTTGTACCTGTTGATGCTCAATGAAAAATTGCCAGACACGATGTTGGCATAGGCTGAGGTGCATTTTGTATGTTTAAGGTTTCTTTTTTTAATTTAAAAAACCCCGCATAACTCTCCTGCTTTCTGCTATAATCCCTTAGCAGCTGGAGACTTTGATGGCTGTGTTCTACTGCACACTGCAATGCCATGTGATGTTTGTTTATTTGTTTGTTTATTTATTTTTCTTCTTAAATTTTTTTTTGTAGCACAGACTTCTGTAAACCGTGATTACAAACTTGTTTTCCCTTTAGGGAAATGGCCACTACCTTTGCTCGGCTCTGTCAGCAGGTGGATATTACCCAGAAAAACCTGGAAAAAGAAATTTCTAGGCTTTCCAAAGAAATAGATCAGCTGGAGAACATACAGAGCAGCTCCAAGCAGCTAAGGTAAGTCTGGGTGTGACTGACCACGAGCAAATTCAGTGAGATTGGTGCTTGCTGTTACTTTCAAGTTGAAATGAGGTAGGCACGGGTGCACAACGGTGCGCAGCAATACCTCTTTTCTTTACTTGTAACTGAACAGCTCTGGTTAAGTTAAATAAACATGTGCACCTAGGTGAATGAGCAAAGCTCCAAAAATATTCTTTCTTAGATCGTCTTTACCTTTGTCTCTGTTTATTGTATGGGAGAGATGGCTTTCTCAAGAGTATTAATCTTCTGTAGGTAAATTAGGGTGGCACCTTCCCAAAGAACCCTCCCCATAGGAGAACACGAGAGCAGCTGTACAGCGTGGAGTCATTCAGCGCAATATTGTTTTTCTTTTAGTACCAGTAGTAGGCGTTTACAGAAGACAAACTTCCAGCAATTGGTGGTCTAGGGACGTGGGAGCAGCCCCAGCCTTAGTTTCATGTTCTGTTCCCCTGCTGTAAGCCTGCCTGGCTGGGGCTGCCTCTTGGCCTCGGGCGTTTGAGACCACAGTCGGATGAACGTCTAGCCCCATGGTGCGCACCCCGTGGCGTGGTTTGCTGCGGGGCTGGCCTGTGTGAGGAACCCTGCTGAGCGCCCTGCTCGGGATTGCAGAGCCTCTCCCCAGTTCAGCACTGAAAGGGAAGGCCAGACCCGGGAAGTCCCGGGTGGACCTGGCACAGCCTCTGGGGAAAAGGAAGCGGGGGGCAGAGAGCTGGCGGCCCAGTCAGGTCCAAGGCTCTGACCAGAGCCGTGTCAGGTTTTCTCAGTGCTGTGGGTTTCAGGAATAGAGGAATAGAAATTAAACACTGATGTTGATTCTACCTTCTTTGTGATGTTACTGCATTGAAGTAAATCCATTGCTTTTGTTTGTTTTACAGAAATAAAGCCATTCACCTTGAGAATGAACTAGATCGCTTTACAAAACATTTTCTTCAAAAGAGTAAATAAAACATCGTTGCTAACTTTCCCGGTGATCCTTTGTACGACAAAGTAGAAATTTTACAGATGACACTTCTCCTCTGTGGAGTCACATGAGATGGTTTATATTTTAAATGTTACTTTGATTACACTTGTTAATTATTGTAAAACTTGGTTTGGACTCTGATGGTGAACCAAACTGAAGAGCTGTGGTACTCTGGTATGTTTGTTTTGCAGATTTTGAGTTAGAATTATCTTTAAACACTAAATTTCTTTGGGCACTTGACAATAAAAACCCCAATCCTTATTGGTTTTCATTAGTATTTAGCAGTGGCAAGTCTCACTTCCTGGCATCCAGGAGTTTATGCAGGGAGAGAGAGCTTATCACAGTTATCACTGTCTCCTGTTTTCAGTTGCTTAGGAATTAGCCAGGGATGGAGGATGCTGCTTTTTCATGTGTGCGTGTTTTTGTTTAATGAAGTATAAACCCCAGCATGGTGAAAGGACTCTGTGACTGCTTTGAAAGCAAGTGAAATTGGGTTGGGCAGCAGTTCCTCTTCCTCAAACGGAAGTGAAAGATGATCGTAAACTGCAGAGCATTCACTAATGAAATGCAGTAGGGTCTAGTTTCCCCTCTAGCTACCACATTTAGACAAGATGGCACTGATTAAGTAAAAATTAACCTGTTTCAACAGGCTTGTCAGATTTCTGGCAGTTGGTAAAGTGCCGAAATGGTTGTTTGCCTATGAGACCACTGCTAGAACCCGCGTTCAGGTGAGTTGCAGGTGTGTCGCTGCCACCAAGCGAAGGCATCCAGGCAAAGGAGAATTTGCTGGGTAGATGGGCTCGACTCAGTTTTTGCATCTTGGGTGGGGAAGCTTAGGCTGACCTTGAGCTCCCACTGCTGGATTCAGAGAGCAGGGAGAGGCCGGGCTCGACAGTTGTTACTCTGCAATGTCCTGAGCAGTCCCTCGGCTCTGCTGTAGAGCAGGTCTCTTCTGGGGCAGACTTAAGGCAGGTGTGTTGGCGTCGTTTTACCTTTGCTTGCCTCCAGCAATGCAAAGCCTCTTTTTAAAAAAAAAAAAAAAAGTTTTTGCTGTTGCCATCTGCAATTGTTTAACACCTACTTTTTTCTAACTAGACTTTTTAAAAATAACTTATTTTAAAAGAGAAAGCCTTTTCAGAATATTTATATATTTTTTATGGAAGTGTTAACAGGACTAAATGCAATATTCAACTTTAAAACTAAGATGTAGGGATTTGCTGTTTTCCAGTAGATAAGGGCTATCTTAAAAGGAAATAGATTTAACATCTAATGCTAGAGGCAGCTAATTATATGAAGACAAAGAACACTCTTCTCACCACGATGTATTTTGGTGTTTGTTTCTGACTGTGCCAGCACCAGCGTGGCACGCTCGGAACTTTCATTAGCAGGATGCAGGAGGCGTCTGAAGGGTTTTGAGGGAAACTGTGAAATACAAAAATGAGGAACAGCCCAGCCTTCTTGCGTAGAGGTTACAGATGTGTATTAATGCTCTTTTCCTGGAGCATTTTTATGGACATTGTATCAAGATAAAACTTGACATGCATGTGTTCTACAGTTATTTATTAAAAAAAAATACGACCCCTTTGCTCTAGTAAGTTATTTGGCAGCTGAATCAAAGGTGAAAACCTACACTGTAGTGCTCTCATGGGTAATGCGTATCTGCTGCAGGCCATAACTGCTGAGGTTGAGTTAAAAAAGCTTCTTCCTGCAGCAGACAAGCAAGCTATGCACTCCATACAGCTGTATTGATCAATTAAATGTTTTGGTTTGGGAGAAAATAATTAATGCTACAGACTTGAAAAAAAGAAGGAAGTGAAGGTGTCTGCCCCTTAAAGGGAAGGTGGTGTTGTGTAACAGGAATTCTCATGCCAGGAATGAATGAGTGTCCTAAAACCTGTTCTTTTCCTGTCTGGTGTTGGTGGCTAACTTCCAGCTCACTGCACTATTGTATTAACATGCCCCCCCTCCCCCCCTTCTTAGGCAGAAAACATACAAAGACATACTGCTTTGGGGAAAAAAAATCACCTTAATTATTTGTTCATCAGGGCAGTTTACTTGCGTAACATTTTGCTGTTCAGCATGTTCAGTTCACTGCGACAAGGTAACCAGAAGCACGAATCGATTGTTGCAGGTATGGCTGACCTGTCTACATTCGGTGTCACAGGAGGAACCGCGATCTTAGGACAGGGGATGCTTGTAATTACAGCTCTAACAAAACATTCACAAGTGACGCAGTCTGGTTAAAAGCACTTGTTTATTGGTTACAATATCAACTCATGGCAACATCTTTCACTGAGCCACTGTACAAATACAAAGAAAAAGATCCATCGTGGAAAAAAAAAAAGCTATAAACAGAGTTCATAGCAAGTGATTTTTTTTTTTCACAGGGAAGTCTTTTTACAACAGCACTGTTAAAGAACAAATGGCACAAGTCCCTGGTTTTTTTAATAGCTTAAATAAAAGCTTTAAGACTGTTTCTGAATACATACACAATCCAAAGGCAGTGCAGAATCACTTCATAATTGGTAACATTACCGAAGTTTTCCAAGTAGTCAGCAACAAGTTAAAAAAAAAAAAACCAAACCCATAGCTGATGAGAAATGCTGGAAACTAAAGGCAAATTAAAATCAAGCATGTTTAGAAGCATTTTGTTTTGGACTCCTTTGGATGTAATATGTACTACAAGTGTTCAGATGCTTTTGTTTTAAAAAAAAAAGGAGAAAAACACAAATAGAGCACCATTGTGTAAGTAAAACAAAGGCTTGAAATATCTAAGACTATTCCACTGAAGTCCATATTAGTTAAAACCTAAACATACTGTGTGGTATAAGAATGTCAGGCACATGTAATCTGTTATCAGTTATATCAATTAGTAACACTGTTCACACATTTACCATAACAACACTGCATTAACATTCTGCATGTATTTTACATAACCAGCAATTGGATAAAAAGGCTTGTGGTGCCTCTGAAGTGTAGGAAGTAGTTTTACCAGCATGCATGCCAGATTACTGTATACAAAGTGCACCATCAACCCATGCTTAATTACTTTTACAGGAAATGCTATCTCAAAAATCAGTCATTCTGCTACACAACCATTTATACCAACTAGTTGAATTAGCCAATAACTCTCACCAACATCTTAAAGCACAGCACTAAACCTAGTGGAGGTGACAGTGTCCTCAAAGAGGAAAGACTAAGCACTCTTGGAATGTTTTCACAATGTTTTCATTCCACCTTAAAGTAATGTGAACTTCATTGTGGGACAAGCGGTTACACTAACTGAACCAAAGAGTTAACTATTTCCAACCCATGCATTACAGTAAGCACACTAGGACCAGCTGTTACATCAATTCAGCTTTGCCAAGTCAAGGTCAGGCCCTCTCCTTAGGCAGGGGGAAAAGCCTATTTAATCCGTCTTCCATTTCAAATGGTACATAGAGCGTTGTCGATACATTGAACTATCAGTTCTGCCAGATACTGCGACGTATCTGCAATTTAGCAAGGCAGAGGATAGCGACGTTTGGAAGAAAAAAAGGTCTGGAGACAGATGGAAACAGGCCCACGTTACTGGAGTAAGCGCATACACATCAGCAAGATGCCACGTAGAAGCTTTTTGTGGTTCCCAGAATCTCAACCACTATCTCTACCAATGAACGATGTCTGAGTCTACACGGGAACAGGCCCAAGCTGGGCGCTTGCCTGATGAATACTCTCTATTGCAAAGTTAAATCTACATTAGAAAATGCTGACAAAAAACTGCACCTGAATAAAAGAAATCTTGTTACACAAAGCACATAGTTCCACTTTCCAAGCCATAACTGATCGACTTTTTTTAGAAGAGAGGCTGGGGAAGAGATTTTGGTACTATGTTCTTAGTCACTCCATTTCTGTAATTACGCAAGTTAATTTGAAATTCAAATAGTGATGTAGTTGGCAACAAACTTCTAAAGACAGGTTAAGATGTACTCACTAGTGCTGCAAAATCTGCTGTACAATGAGTGAGTGTGCTGTCATGGTGCACAGTTAGAAATCACACAAGCTGCATACTTGAGCCTATGTTAAACTATAGGCACATACCATTTTCTTTCACATTCAAAGCTGGGAATAAAACCTTTTAAGTAAAACCTATGAAGGGTCATTTTATTACCTCCCTCATATTAGGAGGAGTTTGAGCTTTTACCATTAAAACCGCATCCATTTTAGTAAGGGCATCAAGCTTGAAAGGTCACTGATAGCATTTCAAAAAAGGAAATACCACAGCCTGTGCAAGCTCATTATTTGGCCTCATATAATAACAATGTGTTACATTACATCTGTAGGCTTTAAAAAAAAACCAACCACCTAAACTCTATCCAGGACAGTAACTAAACAGCAAACGTCACCGTGGCAGGATCTATCACAAGCTTTCTGCAAGTTCCCAAGAAGCATCAGATACTGCTTCCCCAGTTCTACTTGGGCTTCTTCCAGGTCTCCTTGTGCACCGACACCTGCAGCACTACAAACACTGGTTAACTGAACAGCAAAAGCTGGCGGGTATTTGCATGATGCTTTTGGAAACCTCATTAGCAAGTAGTTGGCATTCCTTATTTATTTTAAAAGCAGCTGAATCCAACAGACAATTGCCCATCAAACAACGATCGTGAAATTATTTGCAGTAATACCTGTATGAGAGCCACTACCATGTTCACAGTCTACCTGAACTTTTAAGAAAAAGTTATATACATTTGTAAAACTGTTTTTGGAGTTTCGCAAGTAGAAACTAGTTTTAATACCAGAATGTAAAAATGGCACCTGTCTTCGCAAAGGTGTTGACTAGGAAATTGGTTCAAAACACACTTCTATGGAAAAAAATTTTTTAGAAAAAGAATATTTTCTTAAAATTCCTTAGTAACAAATTTCAAGAATGATTCACTCAAGGCAGCTGTGAGTTAAAAAAACATAATCAAGTGCACCACTAAAAAAATAAACCAAGTCTGCAAGATCCCAAAGAGCTGCTCGCTTAAGAGAGTAACAAGAATTCCATAATAGTTCTGTTAATGCAGACAGATCATAAAGCAAAATGCAGAGGAATTCCTGTGACATACAATATAGTGTGATTTTGGTCCTACACCACAGTCTGCTGTTAGTAAATGTATGCTTCTCCAGCACAAGATGTGCCTTTTTCTTTTTTTAGAAGTGAATTTACTGTGATTGACTGGTACATTTATTGGCACCTTCACCATTATAGACATGGCAAGTTTACAGGCACGGTCTGGAAGTACTGAAATTTCAGATAACAAATGTCAGAAACTTGACAAATAGTCATCTCAGCCACAAATCTGTTTTGGTATATTACAGGATACTGGGCACTTATATTTATTACCTGACCCAGAGATACCCACACGCCCCCCATACCTTCAGATGAGGGCAGATTAACATTCTCTTCCAACCTGATGATTTAAAATTCACGTTATCTTTAAAATAAGTCACTTAAGAGAAGCCAATAGACTTAATTCCCCTTTCCAAAAACGCCACAGACGTTCAAATTCCCAAAAGAACATCCATTGCAAGCGCAGGCATGCTGCCAGGCACCAAAAAGTTAAGCAATCTTCCCAGGTATTTTCAAATGGGCATCAGTCACTTGATTTTCCTGTATCTACACTCAACTGTACTTGATCAGAACCTATCATCATCAACTGACATCAAAATCAGAATAAAATCAGGAACAGGAGATGAAATGGCTATTTACAGTGTCAGAGCTGCAGAACAATTAGCATCTAAATAAGCCACCATGGTACAGACCTCTGTGACCACAGGAGAACAAGCAAGTCGCTAAGTTTATAGTATGAAGTTTTAAAGGGTCACACAGGTAAGCAAGGTTATTTGGTTCATTGTAAGTTACACAATTCCTTTTATAATTCACACTGCACATAACTGACAACAAGCGCTTTTGGTTGTGGTATGCTTTGGCAACCCCCCAATTTGGAGGGGGATTATAGGCGATTAACTGCACATTTAAATCTTCCTTAAGAATCTAAGCAAAGTCCTCCTGAATGCCTCAGTTTATTGTGGTAATTGAGCAAGCTTTGCAAGTACACTGCTTTCTGCACACTGAGCATCATGCCAAATCATTCTGTTAGTGCAAATCAGCTAGAGTTTGCGATGGGCCAAAACTACCTCATTTAGTTAGAGCTGAATTGTCAAAGGAAAAGCACTCAGCCACTTAACGACAGCAATGCAGGTGGTCACTTGGCTTCCGTACCCAAGGACTGCATGGAATAGCTGATGCGAAAAGCTGCAGTAAGGAAGCTAATACTTCCGGAACCGGATTTTTAAAATTTATTTTATTATTTTTAAATTATTTTTGCTGCTGTTGCAAGTCTGCCTGGCGTTAACTCCTTGGTGTTTGGAGGCCATGACTGCCAATGGATGAACCAGGAACCACTGGCTTGAAGGAAGAACCCCCACAATTAAAAACAGGCAAGCAGGTCAAGAAGTGAGTGAATAAGGCGCTAGGTATTAACTGGGAGTCTCCAGGGCCTTTAAAAAAAAAAATTCAAATGCCTTCCATTATAAAAACACATACATACCATTGGCTTCACTTTTATCTACAGTAAATTCACAAAAACATTTAAAACAGCAATCTAGTTCATCCACTACAAAACTCAGAAGTGACATCTCGGGTTAAAAGCAAAGCTATAAATGTAGTTCCTTAAAAAATGCAAACATATTTCTTTACATACAGACAAATGTTACATGATTGGCTGCTATAATGTGTATATTCTGTTATGTACAAAAAAAGGTACAGGATTAGCAGACTGAGCACAAGCAAAAACCCTTCAAGGACAATCTAACCAAACCACCAAAAACAAAAAGACTGGCTCTTAGTTTGTCGGTCACCATGATTATGTGTGCTGGCCCCTTTTAAAAAGTCAGTGATTTCTTCCCCCCTCCCCTATTTCTTCACTTGATTTTTTTTCTAGTTTACAGAAAGCCTTTTTGTGTAATAATCAGTGAATAGAAAAACTTCACCTGCAAATACAAGGTAGAAATGTTATTTCACAGCTATAGGCTGCAGCATTGATCTCTCCAGATCTCAAGTGGAGAATGTACATGTTTGGCTCCCAGTTAATTCCAGATTCTGAGAAAACTGTCCCAAGACCCTGTAGCTACAGCCATGCCGTCATCAGTAACACCTAAACAGCTGACACGGTTGTCATGGCCAGCAAGGACACCTGGAAAAGAAGAAGCAACGGAAGTTAATATTCACAGGATGTCAAGGACTTCAGCTGTTACTCTGCTCTCCCAGGTAAGTCTTCAAATTTGCTAAAAAAGATGTAATGCAAGATCTAATCATCCTTTTTGTCTTTACCCTGAAGAACTATACACATCACAACAGCCATACCAAGAAACTCAACAATGAGGTTTTTAAAAATATGTACACACAATATTGCCTCCATTTTTCTCTCTGCCCTTACGACTTCTCCTTCTTTCTGCCCCAAAGACCTCCTCATCCCTAATCAGGCTCTCTACTGTTTTTTCTCTGTTTTCAGCAATGCTGTCCACAATTTCAGCCATCAAGTACTTCCAAAATCAAATGTGACATCTTCTGACAATGCCCTGGATACAGGAACTACCTTGAGTTTCCCATGTTTTGCAAACCCTAAGGATTAAAAATCCCCCATGTATTGTGTCAGACTATTAGAAAAGCAGCACTGTACCCTGCCTCTTCCCGCTTTGTTTTTGCTTTCCCTCTACCCATTCTTGCACTTGTCTGCTCTCCCAAGGTACCACATCCAGGGCTATTAAAACTCAATCTGTCCACGTCCTTTAAGGAAAAGGATATATTTTCAGTCTGAACAGCAGAATCAAGGTTCAGTACTGAACCAGGCCCCCTCATTTAAACTATTGTACACAGTGAGAAAGATGTAGCTATGCTATAAACATTCTGTCTACCCTGACAGAAGTGACTAATTCAAGGACTGGAAGTGTCCACTTCCCCTCTCTCCCAACAGCAGGAAATTATGGTCCCCAAAGCAAAAAGACTACTGTAACTTACTACTGTCCGAATTACTTCCTCTGATGGGTGCAAAAGTTAATGCAAATGTATAATTTTGTATTACTTAATTTCATACACTTCAGTGAAATAAATTTTCTGTAGACGTAACGTAATTTTGGAGGCTGTTCCTTAGCCTCAAGAGCTGGTATCTTCCAGCACACAGATATATAATGGTCAGTACCCAAGAACAGGAGTACTTCACTGACTGGAGCATTTACTCCACACATCATATAGATGAAACTGTAATGCAATGTAACAACTGGAAGACATAACCAAATGTAATAAAATAAAAGGATGTGATTCCAAAAGAAAACAGTGTTAGAAGGAAGCAAGCAGATTCCACAACGTCAGAAATAGCATTGGCAATCAACTGGCTCTGCATTTTGCATAGATTTTTAATATCCATCTTCTGCTAAGGAAATGGAAAACTTCAGCTCTTTGCAGTTATGCGTACTCACCTGCTCTCTCCCCTTTCAGAGTATCCCACACGTTGCAGTTGAAGTCATCATAACCTGCTAGCAAGAGGCGACCGCTTTTTGAGAAGGCTACAGAAGTGATCCCGCAGATGATATTGTCGTGCGAATACATCATTAATTCCTGATCTGCACGTAGGTCAAAGAGTCGGCAAGTGGCATCATCAGATCCAGTAGCAAATGCATGTCCATTAGGGAAAAACTGGAAGTTTTAATTAAGAGACAGGAGTTTGACACCAGAAATATCCATTGTTCATGCATTATTTCAAAAACATCACAGGATTATTTTGCCAGGGTGACCAGACAAAGGCAGAATGATTTATTTTAAAAAAAAAAAAAAATCTGCATGTTAAAAAAATGCATATACATAGCTACACAACAAAACACTTCTAGAACAGTATGGGTAACACCTGAACGACTGGAATTCTACCCAGACAGCTCCTGCATGCGGTGTAACAGGAGTCAAAGGGGATGCAACTAACTCCTATAAAATGAAGCAAAACGCAGTTATGTGCATCCTGGCTGTGGGCCAGGAAGACCTGGGTGAAGTGGTACATAATGTTCCATCTTGAGCTGGTCAGCCAGGTTGGCTCAGCCAAGATAGAAGATTGCAAGCAAGCAATTCAATTTCCAAAAAATCTACTCCAAATCAGAGTCATTCTTACAACAGCCATATTGATTGAAACGGGAATGAAAAGAGCTCAGCACATCTCAGGATTCAGGTCTAAGTATAGGAACTGCATTTTTCTACTGGTCATGCTTTTGGTATTTTCTCAGCCTTAATAATTTTTCATGTTTATCAAAAACAGATGCAGCTTAGACTTAGATTTCATTCCCTATTTATCAGAGCTTGTATCTTGCAGATCAGAACATAGTGTTACTATGACAGAGAGGAAATATAATCCAGTTTATAAATATTACAAAATGATTCCAGGGATGAATATTCAACGTAAGTACTGATTTTAACTTTGCCTTCCAGAATATTTTGCTGAAAGCTCTTTTCAACAGAAAATACCAAGTACACTTTAGTTCAACAAAAAACTTTAAGATGAGGATGCTTGGCTGTTTTGCTTCCTCTCAGTATATTGCATTTATCTACAATTTTCAGTTTTTAACACACTGCTGCACTGCAAAAAGTTTCCCTCCTCCATTCTTTGCTTCTTAAAAAAAGTAAGGTCTCAGTTACTGAACAAAAACATAGCTGAAACTATTCCAAGAACACTTCAGTGCATCATAGATAATGGCAATAATAATTCAGTTATAAACTAGATCGTAAGTTATGAGACAACCTTCTTCGTTACATACAATTTAACAGTCTCTACCCTAACTAAGTAATTGCTTTTAAATCAAGGTAACCCAGTAGACTACAAGCTGAATTCATGCAACTATAGCTTTTATCCTCCCCCTTTCTTCCCATGTGGAAATACAAATGATCACTTACACAAACTGCATTAATATCTGACACGTGCCCTGTGAACGACTGCCTGCACATTCCATCTCGAATATCCCAAAGCTTCGAGGAGGCATCACAGGCACCCGAAACAAAAGTCCTCATATCTGGACTTAGAGAGAGACTCATCACATCGCCAGTATGCCCAGTGAATGTAGTGGTCTGTTGACCAGTTTCAATATCCCACAAAGCGCTGCAGATAAAGTGACAACATTAACACAATGTATGTGGTTATTTGAGAGTTTAAGTTTTAAATACAAATTAAGGCATTGGAGAGGGAAAAAAAAAAAGGAAAAGAAAAAAAAAAGACCAACAGAGCTCAAAAACTCACCAAGTGGTGTCTCCTGAGCTAGTGACAATTTGGTTGTCATCTAGAAAGCGACAACAGGACAAGTATCCTAAACCCAAAACAGTTATGTTAGTTTCAGACCCAGGAGCAATAACTGAAGTTTAAAATCCAAGAGCAGTGATTAAAGTTCTCCCACAGCAGTCTATAACCAACGAAACTATTTCACAGTTCACAATACACCTCAAAGCGAGATTGTTTCATTTGGTGCAATAAAAAAAACAAAGCTGAAGCAAGAATATGGCTGACCTGTATGCCCTGGCAACTCTCGGCTCACTCTCACATTGCCCTCTCTGGTTTTTAAGTTGTATATGGAACAGATGTTGTCCAATCCACCACAGGCAACGTAGTTTCCAGACGGTGCGTATGCGCAAGTCATCACCCAGGAGGATCTTAAAGGAATGGCGTGCATCTTCAGAAAGACAGAGCTCATGAATGCTACGTCACATGTTAGCTTTCATTTTTCACTGAGGTCATTCATATCAGTTAACGAATTATAGCATATTAAACATACCAAGTAGATTGTGTATCATAAGTTTCAGTATTTTGATTTTACAACATATTACAAGCCATTTCATATTTATACATACATACAAGGATGAAAAATACCAGTAGTCTCTCGGTAGATATACAGAACTTCAGTACAACATTATTTAATAGCAAAGCTATTCTAAATTTAAAACATTTACAACATTTGTTTATTCTACTTAGATTTCTTTGTCTAATTCTTCTACATCTCTGAACTACAGGTTATAAAATGGGATGGTTGTACCCATGGAGACTGGACAGTTTACAGAAGCAGATCACCACTCCACACTCTACCTAAGCTTTTCTCATTTAACAGCTTTTTTTTTCCTTCTTTTTTTTTTCCTCCTCCTTTCTCTGCCCTCAAAAGCAAAGCACCTGTAAATTCCGAGGTTGTGTTATTTCTACAATTTAAAACCAAATTAGTTTCAGAAGCAACACCACACAGGCAGAGAGCAATAGCTACAAGCTACTGCACTAACAAATTAGAGTGAAAATGTTACATACTACCTAGAACTATTGCTTGAGACACAACCTACAATGTATCACTAGTAATCAGCTTGTCATGAAAGAAGAAAAAAAAAAAAGGATTATGTCTGAATTAGAAAAAGACTGCTGCTTTTCGTTTTTGCCTTGCAACCATACAAAAATAGACACAAGCCCCCTCAAACACACAAATTATGCATGAATTATTGATATGGATTATAAATAACTCTACCTTATTTGTTGTATAACTATCCCAAATAATTAATTTTCCATCTTGAGAAGCACTTACTAGTAACCTAAATATAAACACAAAATAAAATGTTAATATAAAACAAACCAAAAAAATCTCAGAATAGACACACATCATGCATGATTACCAAGTGACGCAGAAATTTCATGATTTAGTACTCTCTGCCTTTTCTTCTTTTTTTTTTTTTTTTGAGGGGGGCATTTGTTGGAAAAAATCTGCAAAGATCTATATATTACCTGACAGAAGAATCATGTGTCCACAAGGACTCATGATTAACAATGGACAAAACCAAACAACTTACTGAAAACACATTCTATGAACTCTCTCCACAGCTGCTTTTATTTTTCATATACTAATATTTTAACTATACAGCTACGCAAAAACAAACAAGAAATTTAGGGGAAAATAAATCTTATTTTGAGAGCAGATTCTAGATGTATTTGTTTCTAGACTATATGACAGAGAGTAGACCATGAGGCACTGTTAACATCTGACCATCAGTTGCTCTAAAGGCAGCGTAACAAAACTCCTTCCTAGAAGCTAAGTAACTTTTCCCGCTATGTACAAAAGGATCTTTTTTTCAACGAAATAAAATTTGTCCGTAAAGTTTTAAAATCTCTGTTATCACAGAAGTTACATAATTATTCAACATCTTGGAAAATGCAATAGCCATCATTCCAAAAATATGCCTTACCACATACCCTCCCTCTGCTTAAATAGACTCAAAGAACTTAGTAAAAACTAAAAGAAGGGAAAGGCAAAATGTCTGTGGTAAGAACAAGCAAAGTTCCTCTCCTTTCAATCAATTTCTCTATTACCACTATGCAATCCTCACTGGTTTTAAAAAGGCAAACTGTAACTAAAGACAAAAAACCTACCATAGTCGTGGTCTGTCATCCCCCTGCAAGGGCACCAACACCATACCATATGGCTCCCAAAACCTGATATTAATTCTGAAGTTGACAATCTGATTTCTAACCCTTAAACTGCAGGTTTAAGGATCACTTGTACAAACCTCGAGTCAGATCCCCAGTGCATAGCATAGATTTTGGCTAAGTGACCTCTAAGCGTACGCCTTGTTCGCATTTGAATTCGACCCACTGAGTCCAGACTTGTTGTGATCTAAAAATAAATAAAACAAACCCCTGAGATACTGAGAACTATTTTTAATATACAAGATAACTAAATACATTTGAACTTTGATAGAAAATAATCTATTTTGGCATGCAACATAAAAAAAAAAAAAAAAGGATACTAGTGTACAACCCAGGATTAGGTCCATGCAACACTGAGGAAAACAGATTTTACAGAAGATACACTAATACACTTCACAATGGCTATACCTGAAACTTCAGAAAGTTTTTAAATATAATACTATGTAATACTGAGGCTATTTTAGATTATCAAATCTGAAAGTTTTCAGTTAAAACCAATGGAAGAAAATCCTCCAATATTTACTGCACTGTTACTTTTTAAAGCATGCAGAACTTTAAATGCAAATTAATTTTCTTCTAAAATACAGCTAAAAGACATTTATTTAAGTCTTTCTAAATATACTAAACACAACAAACACACTCTATTTAAAAGCCAAACTGGAAGCAGGACCTATTAAGATGACTGGTTGGGTTTTTTTGCTGTTTTGTTTCTTTGTTTGTTTTTTGGTGGGGTTGCTTTGTTTTGTTTTAAATAACTGTATAAATACACAGTACATTTCAAAGGCTTCTTTCACTTTATTCTTTCAGTTACTAAACAGGAACGTCAGTCATAAATTGCAGGGAATTTTATTTTTTTATATATCAAGTAACAGCCTATACACGGAATCAAGAACATACCTGAGCAAGAGTTGTGTCACTACATGCTTTCCTTGCATCCTGAAACAAAGAATGGAACAATTTGAATCTAAAAGGCAACACTGAGCATCAACTGAGAGAAAGTGTCTAAAGGAAAAATAACTCTTAAGCTAGACTTCACCACACTCCAAAAAGCCACAAGCCAACAACTTACATGCCAATATGCCTTCTGTCACCCTAATACATTTTATTGTCTAAGGAATCTAAAGCACTGGCACACAAGCTGAAGGGTACTGGAGGAAGAAGGACTTAAGAATGGCCATGCCCCAGCAACCTTTGAGTCTCCCTTTCTACATAATATATGATTCAAAGCCATTTGGAGCCATCCTGAAGTCCCGGCGCCTACCCTCTTCCCTGTACTCCTTCCCTGGTGTCGATGTGCTTTCTCAGGGTGTGCTGAGCACCAAGGGAAGAACTGATCCACCTGAAAACGCAACCACGTATTATACATGATTAGTAAGCTTTGTGCTTACATGAGGCTCTTGCATTAAGCCCCTTGCCATCACAGGTTGACGATGCTAGTTATGAGAGGCAGGATGAAAATTTACAGGCAGGTTCTGGAGAGCAGGACAGAGAGCAGGCTTACCAAAGCTTAAGCTGCTGATGCACTTCATACAAAATGAAGGAAAAAAATAGTCAACTAACACCCTCATTCATTTCATGGAATGGATGGTGCTCCGGTCTCCATACAGATACTCCGTCTTTTTTTCATTATTTCAGACTCTACGGGCATATGACTTACTTCCTGCATATTGTTCAACCCCACCTAGAAAACAGACTTTACTTTCATTTGTATAATCAGAGTAATAGACTGGACACCTGACACAGGCGAGCACCACTGAGCCTAGTTTGCAACACTCCGATTTTGCAAAGCCTGGTTTCAGTTACAGTAGCGATTGCACTGCACTCCTGCAACTCAGACTCCCGTCTTTGAAAAACAAAAATAGGCACACAGTCAGCAACCACTTCTGAGAAGCATGGTTTAAAATAATTGGCGTAAAATTACACAGGAACTCTATAGCACAAGTTGAAGATAAAACTATCAACAGCAGTATTGAAGGATCAGCCACAAGACCCTCTCTAACTCCCTTCAGTTTCTCCAAATTCCTTCCAACTTCTGTAACCAACGAAGCAGGCATCCCACAAATGACGGATGGCCTTCTTCACCGCCAATTTGTGTGTCCCCCCGTCCCAAGAAAGCGTTCAACCTGTACACTAACAGCAATGTCCTCTTTGAGAGGAGGAACGGAACCCCAAGAAAGCGTTCAATCTGTACACTAATGGCAATGTCCTCTTTGAGAGGAGGAACGGAAACATTTACTCACACACTTTGGAACTGCATCAATACATTCAGACTAGGATCTTAAAATTTTTCAAGCTCTTGCTTGAGAGTTACTTGACATTGCAACTTTAACAATTTTTTAGTACATGTTTATTCTGACCACCCTTTATAGCCTTCCTCCCAGAAAGCAAGCCTGAGAGTGGATTAAATCATCTCAACTTATTTTTAACATGTCTGAACTGTAGAAATATTTATAAAATGTTGACGTCTGGAATCAGGAGGGGTTTAAAATACCAGAGCAGCAAATCCCCTAGCACTCAGGACTTATTTCATCCACAGGAAGAAACACACTGGATTTTAAACAACTTTAATTGTTTAGTTTAGCTGAAATACTTGAAGATGTTCAACATAAAATTAATTCTGAATGCAGTTTGAATGAAACAAAGCAATTTTTCTTAAAGAAAGAGCTATTAGCAACACCTATACTTGAGGCCATCCAATACTTGCCATATGATTGGCAAAGCTGCAGCAAATGCAAAGTTTCAACAGGCTATTTTAATTCTTGCATTTTAACTGTCATTTCTACATATGCATCATCGTAACAGAATCATTAGTGTCATAACATGAAAACAGCTCCTCTATATAATTGTAGATTTTTCCCAGTTCATGCAGTAGACAATGCAGAATTTGTGAGAAAAATCTACCCGCTCAATGTGCAGCCCCCACGATTTCCTAGCACACATACTTAAGATTTCATTTTTCTTCCCGAACTATATGTATTTTTTAAAATATAGTGTCTTACTTGTTCAAAATGTCATTCAACTTGAAATTACACTGCGTCAAGTATGCAACACTTCCAAAAATCATATCCTGAATCTCAGTTCTCAAAGTGAGGACACGCATCACATGGGAACTTTATTACAGACAGAACTAGCAATGAACTTTAACCATAAAGCCATCCTGCTATCTAATAGTTAATTGTTCACTGATGTTTCAAACTTCCTGCACTAAAAATTCATGCAGTCTTATTTTATCCCTCCAGCATAGTCTATCTGTGTACAGAACAGAGCTACAGCTGTAGTAACTCCATGGGGAGGCAAAGGTACATCACCTAGATATTGTTAAAAAAAAAAAAACAAAACAAAACCAAAAACAAACCCAGAGAAAAAACACACAAAAAAACCCCCCAAAACAAAAACGAAAAATCATTAAACCTTTCTAAAACACTGCAGACTACAAAAAGTCCATTGGGAAATTGACAGCTGTGCACCACGGTTTGTTCTATTTTAGGAAGCTGCTAGGTACAATCTTACCTGGAACTCACTTACAAACAAACACAAAGCTGATTTTTTGTGATTGTATTGTTAGAGAAAGTATGGGACAAAACCCAAGAGCTGTAAACAACTAAGATAGCAAATTGCTAGCTATATATAAAACATCAAATCCTGTTAGCGACCTCACCTCTTTTTAGGAGTGCATCAAAAATAATTCCTTAAAATTACCAGCCCGCTAGATATTCTAGACACTTTAAAAAAACTTTTTTTTTTTTTAGGTCCTGTATCTATCTTCTTACCCATCCCAAACAAAACACCTATTTAGAAAGAAAACTGTGCAATGATTTAATAAGCAAGATAAATAGTCACCTATACAAATATGAAACTGAATTATTTGGTCAGAAAGTTTCTTGAATATTAAGTCATCAGGAGCATTTTAAATTGCATATTAATCTGAAGTTAAAATTAAGCATAAACTATCCAACCCTGCACTCAGATCCAAAGAGGTAAACACTAATTGCCAATGCTGAGCCAAAAGACTCCAATGGCAATAGCCATGGTTACTCGTGGTTACTCCAGTTACAAGTTTGGGTGACAGAGTTACAAGGGAATGTTAAATCAACCTAAAGCCACTAAAAGGAGCCCTTATACAAAGGGCCAATCAGATTTTTATGCTCCAAAACTAAAAAAGCAAACATTCCTGCAACACAGTCTAGCTCTCTTACTTGCCTGATACCTCTTTCTTCACACGATACAATTTTGCATAAAACCAGACTGATTGATTACTAAGACTGAATTAAGACTAACTGGCTCACCCCAACATAATATAATGAGAAAGTCGTTACACATCAGACAGAGGAAGAACTGAAAAGTTATGTATACCTTTTATTTGTGCAATGCTGTAATAAAGCTTAAATTTAAGAAAACGTATTTTAAATTAAAATTTATTTGCATTCCTCTACAGAGCTGCTAGAAGGGATACCCAGCGCCACAACACTGACTGATCCCCGCCTTGTGTTTCATTAGTGTATTACGTGAAAACGATAGGACACAGAGCTCTCCTTGGATGATACTGAATGAGCAGCCATGAAAGGAACATTTGCCCCCAACACAACTACTAATACACAAAGTGCGTTTACCGCATGGCTGATACTAATAAGCAGCCTATCGTCCACTGCACTAAGCAGCAGACCACCACAAAACAACTGCTGCCAGCAGGTGCCATGCTAAAGAACTTTGTCAGTGTGCATGCAACATATTCTAAGAAACCTGTAGTCTTAGTTGATAGGAAGGTTTGCAAATAAGGCATTCCCATATAAATCAGATTTATGAATGCTTCATGTTTAGGAAAAGGAAATTTTGATGAAGAATAAACAGATTTTGAAGATCCTTATTACATTTTGTACTTTTCTCTTTACTAAAAACTGCATCACTGAAATATACAGGCATGTCGCAACAGATTCCTGGTAAACTGACTTTGGGCATGACAGCTCATGCTTGGTTTATCTTCAATGAGTAATTTCAACAAAAAATTAGCACATATGGGGGGATCCGCATTTTCAAAAAAAAAAAAAAAAAAAAAAAAAAAAAAAAAAAGGAAACAAAAAAAAAGGGTTTTAAAAAAAAAAAAAAAAAAAAAAAAAAAAAAAAAAAAAAATCAACAGGAAGCAAAGAAATAGGGCTTCTAGAAATGACATCCACCCCGGAAGGTTTTCTCTCACACTCCGTGCTTTGACCTGCACGCTTATCAAGAGCGGCAGCGCAGTGGTCATTTTTAGCCCAGAAACAAGCTTTTCTTAATACCCTTAACCTCAACTTGTCATGCCTAGGTTCTAGAATTTTGCTGCTCCCTTTTTTTTTAAATCCAAAATAAAAAATTTATAGAGACACATACACTCCTAGTAACAAAACACAGCAAACTCCAATAGGAAATAAACCATTTTGTTCAAGAAATATTATTAATGCATTTCATTATACCAATGGCTTACTTTTCTGATTTTTAAACAAATATTCTGAAAATATTTTAAGCTCTGCACAACTTAAACAGCAGCAAGTAATAGATGCGGTCTTTACACTTTAAGGAGGAACTTTATCATGAAAAATAAGCAATTAGCAATTCTTACTCTGATTTGATTTCGCAGTTGCTCTGCCTCCTGCCGTAACTGTTCCAGCTCACTCATCTTCTTCAGTCTCTATCTCTCACGCTCCACCGGTGAAGAAAACCTGCCAATAAGAGGGAAGAAAAATAAGTTTCAGTATCACTTTCTCCTCTTACAGAAAAAAAACCACAAAACACCACAACACCAAAAACCCCACGAACCTATATATATTTATTCTGCCTTCAGAAAGACTTTCAAATAGATATTCCCTTTAGTACACTGTCTAATAAATTTGGCAAGACCTAAGTTATTTTAATTCCTGAATTACCATGGAAAGCAGAATTAAATGAAGTATATTTTGAATATTGAAGCAACGGTCAACAAAACCACCCACTGTACTTTAAAAAACTGTTACTGAATGCATTTGTAGCGCCCCTCTTCTCACCCACCCGGAAATCTCCGACATCTTCACCCCAAGATGGCAACAGAGAGCAAAGACTACACTGGTTGCCTTAAACATTTACCTTTGAGCTCAACAGTGCTATGATACAAGCACCTTTGCACATGACATGCAAGGCAGTTTTTGTTTTAATTAGAGAGGAAAATTCTGAATCCTAGACTACAGCTGAAATAGCAGGTTTTCTACAATTTTTTTCCGTATTTTCGTTGGGCAAGGTATGACGATGTTTTCATTTCAAAAGCACCCACACAGTGAGAAGGGATAGTAAAGACCGAACCATTCCTAAAAGCATCCTCATGCTGGTACAGCCCACAGCAGCCTAAAACAGTTCTCATCTGAACAAGGCCTCAAAGCAACCTTAATAAAAAGATCAATAAACAGTAAGACCACATGCAAGCACACTTTCAGGTTGGTAATTTTTTAAAATCAGATTTTGCATCTGATTTTTTCAGTGTGTTGAACAGTTTCCTCAGATCAATTTTCCTCTTTATCCCCAGTACAGCAGCACAGCAAAACACCGCTACAGAGACCTCTTACGTCTACTCACATACATGTAGGCTTCAATATCCTTGCAGTGGAAGTAAAGTAAGCTAGCAGCTTGCTCACAAACAAACCAGGCACTTGTTTGTATTTTTTTCATGATGGAAAAAGCACACCAGAAAGGTGGTGGTGGTGGTGGTCCCACTACATTATCTAAAAAGCCCAAAACACTTATAGCTTACAGAAGAAGAAAGACGAAAGTCATACTACTCCTCACAAAATGAAAATTGAGGGAGGAAGGAAAAGAAGTGGGGAGAAGAACCTATTCAAATATTATTCTAAGCTTTTTATTTAAGCATGAGAGACAATACAGTAGTGTCCCCCCAATTTAGTCTACTGAAAAATCGTGAAAAAGGGGAAGAAAGGTCACAGAGTGTCTGGTAAGTTGTAGACCTCTAGGGAAACCCCTTTATTTGATCTAGCTACTGGTTCTTTGTAGTTCAGTAGTGATGTCCTCTAAAAGACAGACTCTGGAAGGCTTTTTTCCACCTATAAAACACGACACTTCATAGACGTGAAGAGTGAAAGGTTTTGGTTCAAAGTAACTTACTAATAAGATAATCACCCTTGGACTAACAGCTTACACAAGTGTTTGAGAGCTACGAAACTTCTCGTTACTCAAGAAGAAAAGTGTATCTTCATTTATTACCCATTTACTCTTTTTTTCTTTCAATCTGAACCTCCATACTTTCCACAGGTATCACTGCAAAGTCCATTTCAGAATAAACCCCCACACACACACAAACTGGATCATCTCCAAATCAAAATACATCCTAACCGGTAAAAGCACAGCGGTGACTTAGAAGGTCTAACTAATATTTTCAGCTATACATAAGCAAACTATGAAGTTCACACCTTTCCCTTCCTTAAACCTATGCTCTGTTCAACTACAAAGACATTATAATCCATATGTGAATATTCTAAGTGACTACTTTATTTACCATCATCTTCCTATTTCAGAAGCCCAGACTATTTAATATTGCTTAAGGCACAGCAGGCATAAAATAGACATCACACTATGTCCGATTTCAAAAATCGAGCATTAAAAACTGTAATCACTTTAGCATGCATGCTAATCATGCCTTTATAGTCTTTGAAGTTTAATTACAATTTTAATATATTTGATTGGAATACTATACCTCTATGAAATATAGCCCCACTTGCACTTCCAACAGTGTCAAATTATCCTTTTTAAAATGTTTTCCCTTTTTTTGTTCTAGAACCTACACAAAGGTAACACAGACAAAACAACGGGCTCAAATGTCTAAAGCAAGCCAGCCAATCTGGCTGCCAATGTTTCAGCAGTCTTGCATGCTATTTTTAACAGAAGATAAAGATTCCTAACAGAGAAGCTGATGTATCTCTGATTTTCTGAGAAGGGAAGTCAGCATCTGCCCTGTGATGTGCCACACTTCAATGCTCTGTAAACAGTAACTTCAACACAGAGAATAATTGATCATAAAGAAAGTGACATTACTATTCAACCGGAAGCATGCATGGCTGGTCACGAGTAGCTAAAATCAGGGCATTTTTTTTTATTGATAGGTAAAACTATGAGTGTATTAGAAAATTAGCTGTAGCATTGCACTGGCACTCAAAGACCATCAATCACCATGCTGCATTTCAACCATAAAGTCAGTGTTAATGACTTTAATGTCACTCATATCAATACTGTTGATCATTAATGCCATTTCTGTATCAAGCTGCACCAGCAGTTAAACAGCTGTTAAACTTAACAGCTTTAAATCATGTACCTGTATAAGTTCCTACACGGACATAATCCAGCTTCAGAAGCCTTCTCACCCACCCATCTTTAGCTTAAAAATAAATTCCTATGCAAATTAAAGGACAATGATATTTCACACTTTTTTTGAAAGAAAAAGGGTTTTTTTCAGTTGAAAAGTCCTAGCAACATCAGTATGTTCTAAATTTGCAAGGTCATTGGCATTACTGCTCAGCAGAAATATATCGGTGGTTCAAGGTCAAGCTATACCTCAACGAATATAACAGCCTCCAAGCCAGTACACATTTCTACAAAATCTAAATTCATTTTAGAACTGGATTATTCTAGCTTTAAGAATTAAAGTTCCTCTCCTCTACGGGGCAGGTGAACAGCAAACTCCGAGATATTCTTAAGCTGTATATAAACACCGGGATACTACAGTAAACAAACTAAGTGCACAGTTTAACCATTAAACTGAAGTGTATCCAACGCTCTCTGTTGTACTGGCTGGCTGCAGTTCCTACTACAACTGCTCATGTGTTCAGATGATCATCCACCATAAAGTATTTAACAGAACCGTGAGCAAGATGCTTCCACTTGCGATTTTTTATTTTTTTTAAGCGCTACTTCGAGGTGCCCACAGGCAATCACAGAAATTGAGTGGGTAGAGAGGAAGCTCTCATGGATGCTTTTCCAGATTCACACTAACTCTGCAAGCAGCATCTCTGAACTCCTGTCAAACTACCGTGTGAACACCTCACTGATGCCATACTTACGACAGCAATGCAGGAAGATAAGCACGTGCTTGGAACTTGTGCATGCAGATGCATCTGCGTCTGTTTCAATGCTTCTGATGCTAGTGATACGGTTAAAAGAGAGGAAGCCATAGTCAAGATGTAGTTATGTGCGTAGACCATTATCCAGACTAGATTTACTTGCTGTAATATTGTTTTTAAGTGTATCAGTGAGGTGACCACTGAAGCACAGCAAGGACACAGAACTAGATGGCTGGCAGCAATGGCAAAGCAGAGGCTGCATCCTATAAACCTGTCCTCAGTGCAGAGAAGCAGGTCATCACCACAACCTTGAAGCGTGCTATTTCCCAACGCTACCAGTCATCCAATAAAAAACAACTTGGTTTTTATCAGATTAAATGCTGGGACTGCTTTTGCAGGGCTTACAGGGATTGCAAAGAACAGAGGTGATCTCTGTATTGCAAATTTTTCCTCATACAACAAATTACTGAAAACCTCAGTGGATTCAACTCCAACCTGTACTAGGTTACAAAGGACACATGCCTGATCATTCCTCCCTCCAGGAAGATCAAAATACTACAGCCAGGAAGGAGCACTGCACCACAGCCTGGAAAATTCTTTATTCCGAACATTAACTTCCTCAGGAGCCTAGCTGTACCATACTTGGCCGTGCACGCAGCAAAGCCATCAGCTCTTGCACCTCTATGGGCAAGTCAGGATTCCTCCTGCCATCTTGGGAGACTGAAGATAACGTAATGTCTACCTCCCTGACTTATTATATTTTTAATAAACGTTTAGTCAGAGAAAAAATATTCTGAGCTACCTTAGATGCAGAATACTAGCGGTATCTGCTTTTCAACATTCACACGCAGAAACCCTGATGAAGAAGCCAGACGCTTCTCTTCAAATGCAATTCATGATATGCATGATGTACTATGAATAATATCATCTGCCACAGCAAAGAGGCCTTGAGGGGATGAGCAACAAGGAAGGGGAAGAACTTTTTAATACCATTGGTAGCCAGGGGGTGTACCACTGCAGGATACCCTACCGATTAGGAAACGGGGTCAAGGACACGAGATGCTTCCCATCAGAAGCAACAATACAGGGAGCTCGTTGTGAGCAATAACTATTGTGTAACCAAGGCGGCACATCTTTGCCCTCATAAACGCAATGTCATTTGTAGGCTGAACTGTACTCAGTGCAATTTTTCCTCAGCGGACTTGTACAAGTGAATTTACTGATACGAAAATAAAGTGCCTCCTGAGGCAAAATAATTAACTAAGTCAGATTCCACAGCGTATCGAGCGTCAAGAAAGCCACTGGCAGGCTTGAGTGCTCCACAGACAAATTACGCCTTACGCTATTCCTGATTCAGTAGCAGCATCATTTGCTAAGAGTTTAATTCTTCATTATATGGGCAGGCAGTGACAAATTATCACAGGTTCTTGTCTTGAAAGTACTTTCTCTGCAACATGTGGACTCAAAACATCGTGGCTGGAAAAACACCCTTTTCTCTGTAAAAAGTCACTCCAAATGCACTTGAGGACTCACTGTAAGAAGACTCACCAAGCCCAGGACCTCTGCAACACGCTGGCCGGCGACAGGGCAGGACACAGCACCTACACAAGCCAGGATGCAGGGAATTCA